TTTATTCCCTATTCCGTTTCCTGATTATTATTATTCCTTAGTTATATCAAAACAATTTTTTTTTAAACCTACTCCCTAGACCCCCTCTCTTTAACTTTAATTTCACTCAAATTTACTACAGGTCATGTTAACCTGATAATATATATACCTATCTCATGAAATTATATTGTTTAATAAACCTATCAATCTCAACTTATGAATGATTATATATTATTCTAACAGTTAAATTTCAAATATTTAGTTCCTAATCAGATTTTAACTTTAAATTAATATTATTTGGTCTGTAAACAAATTGAACACATTTGATTTACCAAACAAAATGTATGTACCCAATTTTTCGAATATCTTCACCAGATTTCTTTTTTTTCCACCAGAATTTCTCCTCTGTTACTGGATTGTACAGATCTTTTTTTTTCTTCTAAAACGTCTTCAAATATGTATTCGTCTTCTAAAGTGACTTCTTACCCCAAAGGTCGAAACTTCAGCACGGCACTAAATCGAATATGTAGCACCCTAGGTCTTCTGTCTGACGTGGAGAGCGGGCGTATATGTCGGAAAACCAGTCGCCACATCCTACATACGACCCATGCATCTTTTCTTACTACATATTTCTGTAGCCTTGTAATCGTCTAGAATTTGTCTCTAGCTGTCTTTACTTCTGCTTCACGTTGTGTATTTACTTCTTACAGTTTCTTAAGGCGTTTGTCTTACCAGGAATAACAATGCAACAGTTCGCTTCTACATTTTATATAGCATAGCCGAATATATATATGGATACAGGCATAATATATAACAATACTTGCTAAAACCATTTCTCCACCCTAGCCAGCCTCGCGGCTGTCTAAGAACTCGGATGGAACCTCTCTGGAACCTTATAGAAGTCTGTCTTACAGAGTTCCACGGTTTCTGTTAAAGCCATATTATGAATATCACGCACAATCAAGTGTGATCATGGCCCTGAACTTGTGTAATTAACGATATGATTGGTTACTTTAAGCTAAATGATGCAATTGGAATAATTCCACTCACGTGTAATCTCGGGGTATTTTATAGACACATTGTTTGGTTAAATAACTCTTTTTTATATAACAATATGTCATTTATACCATAAGTTGATTTAGTACACACTACATATATGTGAATATGTTTGAAATTACTAACTTGCCAAAGATATTAATTAATGAAATATAAATTCATCTTATTTCTCTATTCCTTGTCTATAAATTTAAAAACAATGTCGCAACGACGATAGTGCTACACGTGCAATTGTTGATAACAATTTCGGTTCTGACCGACGCCCCCCCCCCCCCACCTAATAATGTTTCACGATTTTTGGGAAATGGGTCTTCATTATTTTATTTTCTACAAAATATAAAAAAAAATGTTTTTTTTTTGTCACCAAATCACCTGGCCCCTGTGAGGCCCGAGCCCGAGGCATTGGCTTCTGTTTTATTTATACCAATTAAAGAAGCTTAATCGCTAGAAATTGACACAAATCGGTCGCAACGCATATAATAATGTTTCCGTCTTTACTCTAATTTCAAATCGAATGGCAATCGAATGGCAATCTCTGGCGTCTGGTTATTCCAGGTTACACTGATAGTATTTATTGCGCATGCTCTCCATGTAAGAATATAGCGTTACCGTTTGACATGACTTGTGGAATATGACAAGCCTCGTTCTTCGAGTCCCTTGTTACAAATTGCGCTGAAACGCATTATGGTACACGATTCGTGTACCAATGGTAAAATGTTTATTTTGTCTTAAATATTGGATATCAGAAGCCCATCTCTTCCCTGTAAGATCACAGCATCAATGTTGATTTAAATTGACAAATAATTCGTGTAGTCAATATCGAAGACTTTGGGTAATATTGAGTTAGAGACTTAGCTACTTTAATATTAGCTTAAAACCCGAAGAAGAAATCCACTAATTCAAAACTCCAACTAATAAAGACACTGACCAGGACATTCGTTACCAACATGACTCTGTTCCATGTAAATAGCGCGAAGTATACAGAGTTGGCGGCTTTAGCAAGCATTTGTGTATATAATATTATTTATTTAAATATTCGTTTAATATACTGAATATAACAAATACTTATACTGTTTGCTGACGTATTTTCAATCTTTGAAATATGTATTTTCTAGTGAAACAGAAATGGTTATTATAAACAGATTTCTGTTGTTAACAGTCATTCACCTTTCTGTACTAACGTATGGTAAGTTTCTATTTATAAGCACCATTGCTTGATAACGGTGGGAGTACCCCATTGGAACGTTGCAGTTAATATGCCTAGTAAATGTTATCAATAAAGTTGTGTGTTCCATTAAATGCCTTAAAGATATATAAGCGAGCGTTGAGTAAACAAGAATTATTCAAACAGTGACTACATGTATATAAGAATTATACTTCGTTGATGGACAAAACAGTAGTAGCAGACTTTGACATAATGCATTAGTCTAGTAAAATAGAAGGACAGACTTCTTTGTCAAGCGAAAATTCCACACTTTGGCTTCTATTTGAGAGATAGAAAGTCGTATATTTAGGTAAACATCACACTCGTAACAAAAAGCACAAGGCATACACATCCCAAAACTCCTCTCATCTATGCCTAAAATCAAATATTATGGATAATACTTTTATGCAGTGGCGGCTGGGGGCCAAAGCTGGGGAAAAGTATAAGGTTAAGGGGGCAAAGGGGCGAGCTTCAACTAGGAGTATGGAGGGTCTGCCCCAGAAATTGTTGAAAAACAGAATGCCGGAGATGCAGATAAATAGATCCGACCAAATACTGCCTGTCGCCTGACCACTGGTTTATCCGATCAGAGTGAAACGTGTCAAACGAACGGACTTGCCAACCTCGACGAAGCCCCATCATGAGCACCAAAGTAGCTAGCTAGCCCTTACGGAGGGTATGGGGGACCTCCCCCAGAAAACAGTCGGAAATGCAGTCTTACACTATTCAGGCACCGATTGTCGAGATAAATAGAGTTGACCAGATACCGCTTGTCGCGTGATCACTAGTTTATCCGATCCCAGGGAGGAAAGTGTCAAACGAACGAATTTGTGAACATCAACGATGCCCACGGAAATTTGAAAAATGAACTGGCAGTATTTCAGACACTGACCGTCGAGATAAATAGAGCTTTCCAGATACCGCCTGTCGCCAAATCACTAGTTTATCACATCAGAGAGTGTTAATGGAACGATGTGAGTGAATCAAAGTGAATGAATATTTTCGTCACGATATGTTGAGAAATAGACTGCTGGAAATGCAGCCCGACAGTGTTTCAGACACTGGTCGTCGAGATAAATAGAGCTGACCAGATACTGAATAGCACAAAATCACTAGCTTATCCGAACAAAAAGAGATGTGTCAAACGAACTGGGCGAGTAAATCAAAGTGAATGAATATTCTTGCGCGTTGAAAACGTAACCGAAAACTTTGAGGATCGTAAAAAGCACTAGTGGTTTACGTGTTATTGTTTATAGTAGGTTTACAGCGGGGGGGGGGGGGGTCGGTAAGAAATCACTCGGACTCTACAACATACAAGTGTATGACTGATTGGGAATGTGGGATTTAATCATCGTAAAAGGTACTGATTACGGAAACATATAACAAATAATATATATTTTTTTTATTATTATTATTTTCTAATATTAATGTGGGGGGGGGGGGCAAACAGGGGGCAGACCAGATTCCCGGGGGTGGGGGGCAAATGCATTTATGTCGGTAGGCATATATTCAAATTTTACTTAGAACATAATTGCCTCGGTAAAGCACAGGGACGTAACTACCTCAGAGCATAAGGGGGGGGGGGGGGGCGTGAAGTGTCCTAAGGGATGCTGTAAAATTGATGGACAATGTATATCTATTTTTATATGGTCGACATTTTTTTTTCACAGGGGGGCTGGTAAAAAAATGATCTAATATATCATATATCAGTACATTTTGTATTTCAGTAAGCAGTAAATGTACCGTGGATTGCAGTGATGTAGACGAGGAAGATACATACGCTCACTGTGAATTCTGTCAGAAATATGTTACATGTTCAAGTGGTCGTGCAACAGTTGTGTACTGTATGGACGACTTGGTATATGACGTCAGTATAGGTGCATGTAATTACCCCAATGTCAGTATTTGTGGGTAGGTCCAGACACGTTATAACATCTTGATTATAAACCAGTAAACTAATTATATTATTATGTGAAATCATTATAATCATATTATTATGCCAAAGAATTATTAATTAAACATATATTATGCAAGAGCTAAATCTACTGGCAGTTCTCACTATAATACGTTCATAGTTAAAAACTAGATAATGTAAAGGGAATTTGTTGAAAATTTAAGTCAAATCGATCCTTTCTGAACCGAGAATTTAGCGATTGAATTTTCGGCCTAGTCTCGATCATCATTACTAAAGTCGGTATCCACTTCATGATTTAATCATGAATGAAAGTTGAGCAGCAAATCGGATCCTAATCCAGTAAATATCGCAGATTAGCGATGACATCGAGAGTTGGTCTGGATAAGTTAATTAATGTTTAATTAATAATTTAGATAACATTTAAGACCTATAGAAATCATAAACTATAGATCTTGTTTCTAATCCTGTAGAGCTAACTATGAGTGTGCAATTGACTGTGATGGAATGTCAGATCAAATGTATCCACATTGCACCGAGTGTTCACAACGTATCCTGTGTTTAAGCGGAGTCTCTGTCATTTTAGACTGTCCACAAGGTGAAAACTTCGATCTCGTCTCACGCAAGTGTAGAGATAATAACAAAGCTACTTGCGGGTAAGTGATGATTTTTGTATGAAATATTTCTCTTGAAATAAAGTTCGTTGGAGAGAGAGAGAGAGAGAGAGAGAGAGAGGGGGGGGGGTAACATCCATTCGACACAAATTTAAATTCGTAAAGATCCTTTAACTTATTTTTCGGAAAGCGAAGAGACGTAATCTAGATCACTGGAGGTCAAACCTTATTCTCCATGTATTTTAGGACCAAACAAGGTGTAGTACCCACAACGTCGCCTACAAAACCAACTACGTCACCAACATCCCCTACGACGTCACCAACTTCACCCACGACGTCACCAACTTCACCTACAACGTCACCAACGTCACCTACTACGTCACCAACTTCACCCACGACGTCACCAACTTCAGCTACAACGTCACCTACGACGTCACCAACTTCACCTACAACGTCACCTACGACGTCACCAACTTCACCTACCACGTCACCAACTTCACCCACGACGTCACCAACTTCCCCTACAACGTCACCAACGTCGCCTACGACATCCCCAACTTCACCCACTACTTCACCTACTACGTCACCCACTACTTCTCCTACGACTTCACCAACTACGTCCCGAACATCACTTACTACGTCAAGAACTTCACCTACCACGTCCCCAATATCACCAACTTCACCTACTACGTCAACAATTTCACCTACAACATCACCATCAAAGTATGTAGTGGGAAAATGTTTACAGAATTGTGATGGTATGAAAGACGGCAATTACCAGTGCTGTGGAAGTAAGTCATATTTTCTCAAATTCGCTAATTTTGCGTTAACGGCACAATAAGATAGAATTAGCATTATAGACTAGTTGTCTATAATAAGACAAAACATTTTAGATTGGTTAAACATGCATTATGCAAGAGCTAAATCTGATTATTGCAAGTCTTAATTTAGGCTTCAGATGTTATAGAAATTATAAATTAGATCTTTATTTAAACAACAAGACCAAAATCAACTCTGTAGACCCACGGATGGCTCGGCTACAGCTCGGATTTAAATAGGATTTCACTAATTGATTAAATCAGATAAGGGGTAACCTGATGAAAATACGTCAGTTAGATCGAGGCTAAATGATAGAGTGTACTTAGCGAGGCCGCTGTAAAGCGTTTCCGTATGCCATTGAAAGCTTTACTTGATAATCGAGATATGTAGGTGGAGTTAACGCCTGTCAATCAAAGGTTCGGCGAAGGTGAAGACACATTTCGCTACCATTTCTAGGCAAATATTACAACGATGATAACTATGTTCAGAATAAAGTAATTTGACTGAATTTTTCAATATATTCTTCTTTCATCATCTACTTTTGAACTGTTATAGCAAGAATGGCCAACTCTCTATAAATATTTCCCATAATGTATCTTTATGGTCTACATTTACCCTTTAATTCTGGAATGTTGAGATTTTGGTGTGTGGTAGTAGCGAGAGAGAGAGAGAGAGATGGGGTTTAACGTCCACTCGACACAAACTAGGTCATTTCGGGACTAACATATGGTTTAATTTTATTTACATAATTCGCTTGCGCGTAGGGGTCTTTAGCTGTGGGAGGAAACCGAAGGACCCGGAGAAAACCAACGAGGTTGGACAGGCGACCCTACTCCTTGTCACGTACAACCGGGGATTCGAAACCACGCCAGTCGACTCAATGACAGACTTTATGATACAGCGCGCGCACGCTAACCATTCAGCCATCCAACCCCCCGTGTGGTAGTAGCAGTAAGGGGAGTGGGTAGGGTGTGTAGTAATAGTGGTAGTAGTAGTAGCAGTAGTAGTCGTAGTAGTAGTGTAGTGTAGTGTAGTGTAGTGTAGTGGAGTAGTATTCGTATTCTGATGCTATAAAAAATCTCTCCTCTTGAAATGAGAATCGTATTGTGCTGTTTTTATTGTGTTTATATATGAGGTTTATCCGACTGTATTTCGTTGCGCACGTATCCCATATTATGTATTCAAACGAATTGTGGTTCACAAATATAATAATAGTGCAATCATTTGTCGGGGACTGTGTGATGGGGCCAATATTTTAACGCAGATATCAGTAACTTTCGTCTGTGATAGAAAATCACCGACAACAAATCATTAATGTGCGCCAGCCTTTCAATCGGGAACTGATGACATCCTGCAGTGTCAAATTGCTCTGCCAAGGATCGTGTTTGATTTCATCCACCGAACTCTGTTTATCAAAGTTCAACAAAATTATTCATCATTACTCATGGTTCAACCTTTTCTTCTTCAGGTTGTCATTTCTTCACATCGTGTGTCAATGAATATATGTACGACAAACGACCATGTCCTCAAGACTTGGTCTGGGATGACGCAAAGAAAGACTGTCTTAGAAGTTCAACAACTTGCTCTGAAGACACAAATGTTTAGTACACGCGGCAAAGACATTGTAACGAAATAAACGGTGCCTTGTATGCTTTTCATTTGATTTCGAGTGAATGTTATGTCCTATTAAAGATATATTATGGCAGATTCGATAACGATTCGGCAGTTCTCACTATAATAGTTAATAACTAGATAATGTAAAGTCAATTTGCTGAAAATTTTATTCAGATTGATCCACTACGAACCGAGAACTAAGCGATTGAAATTTCCGCCTAGCCTCGATCATCATTACTAAAGTCAGTACGATAAACAGCATAGTCTCGATTATCCATTTAATCGTTAAATCCTGAAGGAAAGTTATGCAGTAAATCGGCTCATAATCCACTAAGATCGCAGGCTAGCGATGTCATCTAGAGTTGATTATGATCTGGATTGGTTAATTAATGTCTAATTAATAATTTAGATAACATTTTAGGCCTAAAGAAAGACCTACAATAGACAGGTTTAGCTCGTTCATAATGTATGTTTAAGTCAGAAATCAACGATTAGGTATAAGATCGTTATTTTAACTGTTTGTTACAACATAACCACGCGGTTGATCCAAATTGGAATATGATATTATGTCTTATAAATAAATTAACCAAAATATACGTAACCTAAATTATATAATATTTAGTTGTAGATGTTCATGAGGATTGACCCGACAGTCATATTTTAAGAATGCAAACAGTTCATTGGTTGGCAACTATAATCTTGGTACAAATTTGCAAGCTTGTTTACTTTAGTAAATGTCTTGGTTTAAGTATTCTGCATGAAAATGGTATACATTGTAAAATAAAACGTGTAGATCCACCCGTGCCGGTTATATTGATATCATGCCTACCTCTATTTTATCAGCAATCTTTTGTTCTACCATTTCTTACTTTTCCATTTTATCCAGTCAAAAAAATATATCAATTTTGATTTGGATGTATTAGTTGTAATAATATAACAAATAAAGAACAAATAAAAATATTTTGTGATATATCTTTTACATCCTTGGGCCAGGCCACAGGACAGTATGCCTGTAGCTAAGGTGGGGGCGGGGTGCTGAGATGTATGGAGATGCCGACAGCAAAAACAATATATCAGTATTTTGAAAAATATTGTCGACTAAAGACGACTAGTATAGAGGAAAGGGGCATAATTTAAATTGTTTACTTCAGCATTCTAAGCCCTAGTGAGCGAAACAAATTCTTGACTTGCCGTGACCGATTACACTCATGACACACGAGTTGGTTCTAGTACCAGCCATAACTACTTACTTTCTTTTTCAAATTGAAGTGCGCAAAAATTGTTTTGGTTTTTTTTCAGTTGTAAACAGATAGTGCTACAACCTTAAGCCCCCCCCCCCCCCGCACACACACACACACGTCCAGGTCCGGACTTTGACTACGATCTTGCTTTCGGCCATATACCACATCAATGTTAATGGACATTTTACCCGATGTTACCCGTAGTTCGTTTTGTACCTTCACTTTCTTCTAGTATCGTATACTTAACTGGACAACCAGGAATGTAAGCCCAAGGGACAGCGTCTTGTTGATGGAAGCGGACCGAAATGAGAATAGAAATTATAATAATTTGATATACTAGTATATTTATTACAATCAATTCTAACGAATCACCACATTTAATTACTTCTTGTGCAAAATGTCTTCAATGACTCTGAAAAATAGCAATAATTATTAGTAGGTCAATAAGTATGGAAGCCTATATCAATCATTCCAAGTCACATTGAATGCGTGCAATTTGCCATAACACAATGGCCTGTGTGATAGAGTCTAGTATTGAAGTTGAAGGCGATAATTTACGATGTGACCTAGAATGTAGAGATTATAGACACTTCCTAAGCGAAACCCGAAAAGTCATAGGTAAGCCAAAATGATGGTTCGCTAATATCGCGGTGTGTTACTTTTCTAATTTCTAGCTTTCGAGTTGCGCTGTTGCTTGGTGTGCGTGTTGGCGACTTTTTACTTCATGAATAAAGTTGACATCAAGCAAAACGAGCCAGAAATGCAACTCGAATAAGTCCCGACAAAACGTTGGGTGCTAATATAGCCGGGTCTTTATTTCTTAATTTCCTTAAATTACGAATGGTAGTTACATGCCACCATAATTAAGTTATTAATACCCTAGATACAAACATCGTCACATTTTGTCGAATAGCTGAGAAACTTGGAAGCAGCAAGACGTTATAATCTGGCAAATTAAAGTTGTCGGCTTGGTAATTATAGCCCTAGGTCTAATCGTACAACTTTGTAGGGGACAGCCACGGCGCGGCGAACTGGGCGTCGGGCCGCTAGACGTAGTCCGGAGGCGCATGGGCCCCGATTGGAAAATAAATGGCATATATGTTTTACAAAATAAATGCAATATCTATCCACCTTTGCATCCACTGCAAAACATAAATTTTAACGGCCTAAATCACAGGAGAAAACTGAACTGGTCATTACACGTATTCTTCACCGCAATGTGGGCAAAAGGAAACCAGTTGGTCCGAGCGCCCATGGCTACACAGTCAGCCCCTGTCGGAAAAAGGGTGGGACTGTTGTGGGCGAAGCGTATGAAGATAGAGGGCTTAATAGATCACTGACTGACACCGTGACACCGTGACTAGTCATCATGACACATGTCTGTTTTAGTGGGAAAGTATTCACTTTTTGTCACAAAATTGGAGTGAATTTAAGGGGGGTACAAAATAAATTTGACCAAAAACAAAACACCAAATAAATAAACATAAGCTGAATTTAAAGAATATGGATTCCTATTTGACCGAAATCGCTTTTATCAAGCATGGCCGAAGACAATATTCAGAAATATGCGAGGGAATTTCACAATAAAAACACACGGGGCTGATTAATGGTTCGGATTCATTTCTTATCATTACACGGAACTGTGCGTAATTTATTAACACCTCGTTTGTTTGGGGTTTTTTCTCTCTCTTTTTTATACCATGGTAAGACCGGTGAGACCTTACCTTGGCGCCGGGGAGGGATTTACGGTAAAAAATATGGTCAAAGTTATTCCAATGTTTGATAGTATATTACTGATAAATGGCAAGTCGTTGCTAAGGAAAAATACTAATTTATACCGACTCGAATCCACGTCATATAAATAAAAAATTAAACCATTATGGAAAATGTTCTTCAAGATTCAGTTTTTGCTTACTCGGTCGTATCTATGAAAAATATACATAACTCGGCCACATATGTAGAGTATCACTCAGCCATAGGCAAAAAAAGCCATTTATGTTTGCTGTTACTCATAAATTTATATCTTATTTTAAGATAATATAAACCAATGCCTTACCCTCCTGGCTTTACATACACCAGTTTTACAGGATCTTCTACCTCCAAAACAATAACAGTGCCTTCTACCACAACATGGTGGACCATTCTTCTTACAGAATGAACTGACACACTGAAATAAAACACACACATAGCCATAACATCTCCAGAGTATGATAGACCGCTTCTCTTGCAGAACGAACCATAACATCTTCACAATATGATACACCGTTTCTCTAACACACTGAGAGAGAGAGAGAAAGGTGTTTTGACGTCCACCTGACACAAACTAGGGACTAACACACGGTTCAATTTTATTTCAATAATTCGCTTGCGCGTAGGGGTCTTTAGCACTGTGAGGAAGCCGCGGGATCCGGAGAAAACCCACGAGGTTGGACAGGCGACCCTACTGTTTGCCACGTACAATCGGCGAATCGAAACCACGCGGGATGACTAAATGGCAGACTTTATGATACAGCGCGCACGTGCTAGCCATTCGGCCATCCACATCCCTCCCCATCCCGGATGTTACAAAATGACATGTTATGCTCCCTGCCAGCTTAACATGTGAAAGTAATTTGAATATCAAATCCACCTGCCGACCCCTGTAGATCTTGATAGCATTTCTAATGTCATTATATATGTCATTATGTAACTTTAACTTGTTGATGGCATGTCTTATCTTACTTCTTTGTCTGATAAACTATACTGAACGTTAACTGATATGAAACATGATACATTATAGCCAGATGCCTATTGAGATTCCTTTGTGTGTAGAAAGGTTTAAAACCCCAGAATGAAACGGCATGGGCAGAGAGGTCCAGGCAGGACATGAGAGCAGTCGGAGGCTAGAGAGGTCCGGCCAGGACAGGCCACGCAGGTCTGGACAACGGCCACGTAATGTAGGTTAGTTAGGAGTTGGCACACTCGTGCCTAGCCGAGCTAGGGCCATGGCTCCCTCAATACAAGTTAGTTATGGAGTCTTTAAGTTTTGTACATAATATGTTAGAAGAAGCAGAAAATGAAAGTATTTTAAGATGTTAAACTAGTCATCCGAACCTGATTAAAGAACCAATACTGACACATATAAATTGATGCCGTAGACCAGACCAACGTTTTGAAGTCATAACCACTAGACGATCAAAGAATTATTTCTAAGGTAAGTCTTTTTCTAATCCTACCAAGGCCACGGTAAATCCTGACATTGTGCTATGTAGGCCCTATTATAATTTAACTGGGAAATCAGAGGTTATCATCACGCTTTATTAAATATCATGGTGTAGTTACTAAATTTAATATATTGCTTTTTAAGCTAGTAGTGGAACAGTCCTTAACTATTTGTAGGAAAATGGCTAAAACAAAATTGTATATATATTGTTTGTTTTACAATGGGTCATGTTGTTTTTAAAAGATTATAAATTATAATTGTTTGTTTTTGAACACATATTTTGGCATTTAAAATAAGTAGTAACAGGTTGATATCGAGAAGTAAAATGTGTTGTGATTGTTTAACTAGAATTGGGTTAACAGTATCGTAATTTGGAATTTAACCCAATAACATTCACAAAGTATTAACGCGTTTATCTCTAAGTTTTTTTTTGTTGTTGTTTTGTCTATATGTGTCTATTACCCCAAATGTTAATGGGATGCTCCGATATTTACGGGAGATATTTTTATTTGTGATACCCCTAATGTTAATATGGGATGCCCCGATATTTACGGGAGAGAGTTTTTTTGTGATACCCCTAATATTAATAATGGGATGACCCGATATGTACGGGAGAGATTTTTTTTATTATTTTGTGATACCCCAATAATATAGATTGGGAGGTCCCGATATGTTACGGGAAAAGTTTTATGTGAAACCCCAGTCAGGTGGGATTGGTTTAACCCCAGGAGAGGGTCGTGCTCAGAATTAAGAGCGAACGTGTTGTCTTGTTTTGTGTTGTGTTTCAAAAATTATAGAGATAAACCGTTATTAATGTTGATAAGTTCTTTCAAAATATCTTATTGAAGATTGGTAAAATGTGTTCAGAAAAAAAAAAACAATATGACATCCTAATTTCAATTCTATCCATGTAAATAATAATGTAAATATCGTTAGATAGCTAATTAAAGTCTGTTCCACTTGCTAATTTGATTAACTATTAATTAAGTTCACTCCATGATATGATAAACAGATGATAAAACTTTCGCATGGGTGGCAGTTATAATACTCTTCATAGCACATGTCGCACCGTTCCGGCCAGGCGGTATGGAAAAGATAAGACTACCGGAAAACACTGACCCCTTGATATTACGGAAAACTTATACAAGAGGAAGGCGACGGAAGAAAAGAAAAAAAAATGAATTTGTATCTCCCTACAGTTGACCACAACGACGATGTACAGAAGAAGAACATGGATATAATTGCTCCATTACGCGTGTGACTATTATAATAATTTATATTATATACTATTCAAAAAAGTAGGGGATATTTGATTTTGGGGGCATAATACTAAAATATGCAAATGACTACGAAAAAAGTCACTATAGAACCTAACAGAAGAAACATTTCCAGTTACATGTGACGCCCAAACGCACCAATAGCTACCGCATGGAATGCAGGTGATGCTTGGGATCATCATGGGGGTCCAACCCAAGATTTGCACGACTCTGACTTTGAATGTTAGAGTCATTGTGGCATTGAATTCCAGGGTGGAAACATCAGTTTAATTGTTTTAGTGACCAGAAAACAAATTTTGATATGCGTCGGCTTACCCAAAATGAAAGGTTACGTGCCCTTGGCATGCTACAGATCGGCACAACACAGGCGGTTGTGGCGCGGACGATGAATGTTTCTCAGTCTGTCATAAGCAGGCTATGGTCCAGATACCGTGATACATAATCTGTACAGGACAGACCACGCTCAGGTCGACCAAGGGCGACAACTCAAGCCCAGGATCGATTTATCCGTACCTTGGCCTTGAGAAATCGTGTCATCACAGCAAATCAGATCAGCGCTCGTCTTCAAACAGACACTGGTGTGAGAGTGAGTGGCCAGACGATTCGGAATCGACTGCATAGGGGTCACCTTCGCGCCCGACGTCCTCGCGTGATCCCTTGTTTGAGAGATCATCACATTCAGGCAAGACGTCGTTGGTGTAGGGATCGTCAACACTGGGATAATCGACGCTGGAGCAATGTGATGTTTTCAGATGAGTCAAGGTTCACTGTTGATTTTTTGGACAGACGTAGGAGGGTGTGGCGTCGTCGAAACGAGCGCTTCCAAGACGTTAACGTCATCAGACATGATCGATTTGGGGGTGGTTCTGTTATGGTGTGGGGAGGCATCACTGTTGCTGGAAGAACGGCTTTACATGTTGTTGCAGGGCGTGTTACAGGCCAGTACTACCGGGACAACATCTTGGCAGTCCATGTTGTGCCGTTCGCACGACGTCATGGCCGCCGTTTCATCTTCCAGGATGACAACGCAAGATGTCACAGGGCCAGGATCGTTACAGGTTACCTCCAACAACAGAACATCACCACATTACCTTGGCCAGCACTGAGTCCCGACCTCTCCTCCATCGAGCATGTCTGGGACATGCTTGGACAGAGGTTACGTCAACGTCAACAACGTCCTGCCAATGTCCAAGAACTTGCTGCTGCGTTGCAACAGGAATGGGACAATCTGGACCAAAATGACCTTAGACGTCTCATTAGGAGTATGCCACGTCGGATCAATGCTTGTTTGGCAAACAGAGGAGGATTTACCCGTTACTGACTTGGTTGTGATGCTGTGGTAACTTTGCTGTTTGACCCCGGGTATCATTTTACCCTTATAATGGTCAGTCTGTGCCTTACTTAGTCTAACGATCATTTGGAATAAATCGATGAATGTGAACTTCATTTCATTTTGTCATTTGTTTCTTCGTCAGTTTCATTAGGTGACTTTAATAACACTTAAAAATCAAATATCCCCTACTTTTTTTGAATAGTATATATTCGCGTGTGTTACCATGAAAATGATTTATATAGATGTGATTTCGGTTATTCGCGTGTGTACAAATTAAAATAGTGTGTGTGATATATGCGATTTCAAGAACTCGTGTGTGTGAACAGTAAAATTATCTGCGACATAATTATGTGATTTCAATGTCTCGCGTGTATGAACATTTTAGTATTATATGTATGAACTTTTCAACCGGTGCCTTATTACGTTTCAACCAGTGTTTTATTCTTTTGCCATTTACATTTTTTTTTGTTTATATAACTTTTAATCAGCGTATTGTTATTTTTCGTATTTTTGTTTATATTTTAATTAGGGTAGTTAGTATTTGAATATCAAATCCACCTGCCGACCCCTGTAGATTCTTATGTCATTATGTAACTTTAACTTGTTGATGGCATGTCTTATCTTACTTCTTTGTCTGATAAACTATACTGAACGTTAACTGATATGAAACATGATACATTATAGCCAGATGCCTATTGAGATTCCTTTGTGTATAGAAAGGTTTAAAATCCCAGAATGAAACGGCATAGGCAGAGAGGTCCAGGCAGGACATGAGAGCAGTCGGAGGCTAGGCGACGTCTGGTAGTTAACTCCAGGCCACGCAGGTCTGGAGTTAAGACCGGACAACGGCCAACTATTGTAATTTAGTTCTGGGTGTCTTTAACATTACGATGTTTGTACATAATATGTTAGAAGCAGAATAAAAGTATTAATAGAAGCTGAAACTAGTCTGGTCATCCAGAACTTGATTGAAGAACTAATACTGTCACACGGACTACTTCAGAAAGAACTAATAGATTTAAATAAAACACAAAAAAGCCATAACATATCCACTACACGGTAGACTGCTTCCCTTACAAAACGGACTAACAAATTTAAATAAAAAACACAAAAGGGCATAGCATCTCCACAGTAATGGTGGGCCGTTTCTCTTACAGAACGAACTAATAGACTTAAATAAAATACACAAAAGGACGTAACATCTCTACAATGTGGTGTACCGTTTCTCTTACAGAACGAACTAACAGACTTAAATAAAACACACAAAAGGCCGTAGACACACAAAAGGCCATAGCATCTACACAATGTGGTGGACCGTTTGTAACACCGTACCTATTTTAAAAATGTCCGAGAATTCATTGATCAATTTACTTCTTTATGTAACTCTGTACTAGAATTCTCATTAACAATCCAAACAGTTTTATTTGCTATTTATACTATTTTCTTTTTTACTATAACTAGGCCGACTGAAAATATAAATGACTACTTAATTCAAATCTTGCATTCGGTGGGTCACATTGGCTGGTTCGTTAAAAATAAAACGCTACATTCCATTGTCGGGTCATATTCCTTATCTCTTAAATAATATCTATGCAAGTTCGAGTTCCCAAATTTACCCAAAGGTTGCCATATTATTGTCTGAATTAAGATAACAGCGGCCTGCAATTATTTAATAACTAAAGGGCTGTTTCGGTTAAAAATGTCAATGTATCACGTGGAAATGAAATATTTAAACACAGCGGTTGGCAAATTATATCGTTATAATTAATTACAAGCCATGCTGTCTTTTTACCGGTTCACTACTGAATGATGTTATGATATTGTGTATTTGGTTGTTCATACCGTCCAACATATAAAGTTCATAATAAAACGTATATATCAACAGGTTGAATGGAATGGGGTATAACTTCCTACTTTTCTCCACCCACGGGCTATTAAGACGCAGCCCCCCCCCCCCCCACCTTTCCGCCTCCAATGAGAAAAAAGTCCCCTTAGGCCCAGTCACAAAAAATCAAAAGCTCAGTTAAATATTATACGTCTCTATCTGAAATTTTACGCGGACGGTTCCATTATGTCATCATTATTCCACTCCTGTGGCCTATTCTTATTTCGATTTCAAACTTTAACGTGTTGCTACTGGTATATACGGGACCTCGGTTTTCGTCACATACGAACAGAATTGAAGGAGTCAACATGAAACATATTCGATATAAATTATATATCTGTGACCCTATTCAAGAAAACATAAATCAATAATGATACTAATCTTTCACTGACTAAGTGCTAAAGTCATAGCATAGATTTTAGCTCTTGATCAATTAAAAGGCTACATTCTTAAAAGTTTTCTTGAAAAGCCTTCATGCTTTTTACTGTACCCTTTCCCTGTTTACTTCATTTGAGTCACTCTCATTTGAAATCAGTTGATGCTTGGGGTGGTTGGGTTTTTCTAATTTTGGATTTCTGTATCCTTGAGCTTTTCAGTTTAATAATTAAAATAAATTACTCACCCTACCCCTTCGTTCCAACAGGTGATCATCGTCATAGCAAATTCCAACATCTATAGCAACAGTCACCAATAACAACAATAATAGCAGTCTGGCAACCATATTTCTGAGAAAATAAAAATAAACTATTGACACTACAAATAGTGCGGGTGTTATTCACGAGAAAGTTTTTTTTTTGTCTAGAACATCTGATAACACTTCACTTCTAGAAAGTATTCGCCCTGACTGTTTCCTAGTTGAGAAATCCACATACTATTAGTCTAAATTTTGCATTGATAAATTTGTATTGACGGACTTCGTATTGATGATTTTTGTATTTGTTAATTTTTCATTTTGGAGTAGTGCATTTCGTATTTTTTATATATGAATTTTGTATGTTCGGATTTCGGATATGTGGATTTTGTATTGATAAATTTTGTATTTATAAATTTTGTATTTATGAATTTTGTTTATGCATTTGTGAATTTTGAATACTATTGATCTCTAGAATCGAGATAGTATCATGTTTCAGTCCATGCGATATATTAAATGTTATTATATGCTAGATGGTTTCATTACAAAATTAAACCCCATTAAAAATCATAAAATGACAGCGGCATGTGGTATTTAAAATAACTTCTGTGATAAATTGTCGATTCCATTGGATTTTATGCTTGATTTGTTTTGCTGGATGGCAATTCATCTTCGTTAAAAATAGTTAAAGCAACGTTGAGATATAGCCGATTTTGTATTCCACTGTTGAGATAATTTGAATCAAAATTTAATTTAAAAACAACCCTAACCCAAAACCGAACGGTAACCCTAACTTCCGGATATTCTTTCGAAACCAAAAATTAATTTGTATTTAGCTTGCCACATAGACTCAATTAAATACTTTATCATGTACTGTATCAAAGAGGTTACGTTATATCACATATGTAAATATAAAATTTCACAAGAAAACTTGAAATCTATTTGGGATCTGTAAAATGCATTCATATGAAAAATCACAAAGCTAGATCAAAAATTCCAGTCAATTCCATCAGCTATAACAGGGTACCAACAGGTAGAATAGTGCAAAGTAAAATTAGTGCAGCAAGAAGATATAAAATCACAGTCAGTAGACCGGGTTAATGTAATTTACGTCACGGAACTTTTTTCTTTTTCATTTGTGACTATTTGATTGACTCATTATTTTACTACTATTAATTTAAAGGCGTATCCAAGGGGACCCAGGTGCAATTTCGTGTGAAACCACATTAAAATGTTTACCTAAAAAGGCTGCCACTTATGAAGCAAATAGTTATAAGAAGCCGTTTTGGTTGTACCAAATCTCTGTGCACAAATACGGCGGGGAAGGAGAGCAAGGACGAAGCGGGGAGGTCGAATGGTCTAGTGTGCTTTAAATCGTGGAACCACATCAAAATGTTTACCTAAAACATCTACCACTTGGGTAGCAAATAGTTATGAGGCCTTTTTGTTTGTACCAAATCTCTGTGTACAGATACGGTGGGGAAGGAAAGCAAATAAGGATAGGGGAGTTGAGTGTTTTGAATCATACGTTTTGACAGTAATATTCCCCTCCCATACTTGCCCGTGACGAGGATCGTTTTATCGGACTCTTTCGGTTTATTCCCACCGCTAAAGACCACTACGCGCAAGGAATTTATTCAAATAAAATTAATTCCAAATATTAGTATAACATTTGAATGAATACTTACATTTAGCGAGAATCGGTTGTTATATCCGTATAAAACTAGAGTCCAGAAATCCACCAACTTGTCTATTACACGACAGGATAGTACTACGCACTATTTAAATGACTAGTGGCTGTGGAAATGTTAATAGTTTTTTGATGATATAATTACCACCTAATTAGTTCAACATTTTGTCAGACAATAATCAGAATGATAAATAGATCAACTCTGTTTCCCGTTTCAGTGATGATACGATCTGAACATTAACATCGTATCCACCCTCTTATAGTAGAAAACTCCTTCCCTTATCTCTAAAATAACCTACTGTTGTCGATTGGCATTATGTACTTGGTAATGGAATGGACCTGAACATATCGCCAACTCTTAATTAGTTTATTTCGTGACCACGCGGTCAATTTTTTAAAAAATTATTACATGAGCAAGGTGTGGATTTGAAAGTTGATGTTCTTTTGCTCGTGAATACTAAATGTGATTATCTCAAAACATGTGCCTATAATAATTAAAATAAATGCCAACTTGTCAGTGGAAAACAGAGAACGCCTCCAATTTTAAAGGTAGGCGACCCCGTGTATTGTCCGATCAAAACCGCGACATTTGTACCAATGATAATCGTTGCAATCTAGAGCGCACGCGTTAGACTGCTCAACCACCACGCCCATCAGTGGGTATGAGCGAACTATTTTGGTAATGGACTAGGAGTGTGTTATTTACGGAACATAATATTGAGTTCAGAACGCTCAGGGTAGCATTGATGTATAGCTGTTTAACGTTTCCTCAGCACAATACTTTGGTAATACGTGTGCATAAGAATCTTGTCGGTACATTAGCATTTTCGTCAATTATTCTTCCACTATAAAGGATTGGTTTACGTGGACGCCACTAACAATTGAAAATCAGGCCCAATTCGCAATTCGTACCCTACACATTCTAATAGAGAGTCCAGTGATCTGACCACTCGACTACCATGACCCAAGGTTAGCATTAAACAAAATAAATCCTGGTATGTCAAAATCGCCGAAAATATTGCAAAAAGTGACCAATAAGTTAAATTGACCAAAAATACGCACTTGTCGGTCCGTGTAGTAGTAGTTATTGACATTGTCCGTTATAAATATGTGAGCCTCTACACGCTGTTCTGTTAAAGTCCCGATGAGCTATTTTAAGTTATAGGAATCACTTCCAAATTACAATATTGTGAAAGATGAATCTCTAATAGGAATATCAGTCCAAAATGGTTCAATTCCATTCATTTACAAGAAATGGGGAATTGGAATTCCATCGATCTATGATGCTCGCCGCGCCATTCTGTTGTCCACGAAAATGTAGTGGCAGGCCTGTTTAAATCCGATTAAATCCAAGCCGGGATATTATCTAGCGTTGGTATTTTGATTTTGTCTTCTTATTCAAATGTCAAATAATCAATCTGAGTACATATTAGAGTGGATTAAGCCGTGGTAAATTTAATTTGTAGCGACAAATACCAATGGCGCATCGCTACTTTAAATATCGGCAGGTCAACTTGTCTTCGACTTGGTCGCTGAACAAATAACGACGAGTCAACAGCAATCGACAAAATAAATATGGTAATTTTACAAATAAACACAGACAAATCTATCAGCCATTTATTCAAGGAATTTGATTTCTTACAAAATCCTGATTTATATAAAAACTGAGATTGATGTTAGAAGATTTTCCCTGTTGTTCATTATGTATTTTATCAAATAGCCATTTCTCTAGACAATCAAGGGTGACGGGTTGATAATCAGAATGATGTTTATTACTGAATAAATGCGGTGCCTTGGTTAAACCCGGTAGTTCCCCCATACCAAATATACAGATACTTCTTGTCCATTTACCGTTACACTTGGCGCCATCTGTGGACCATATTTTATATCTAGCCATTGCTTCTCTCTCAAGTAACATCTTTCTCGTCCCTGTAACATTTGATTAAAACGATCAAATATTTAAAAATCTCAATGAGCTGGTCTTTCTTTCAACTTTATCTTTAGACAAAATAAAAGTGACATATTGCTAGTTCGTTTTGACATTTCCTGTCAATGTTAATTTCAAGCTGTATCTGATTCTGTCAAGTTTCATTACCTTCCGTGAAGAGTAATTTTTATATCAGCTAAAAACAACCAACATGCCACCTTTATTTAGTGAATATCATAATGGCGATTGCCCATTCGAATTCACTATCTTATCGCAAATGAATGGAGTAGTGTAAATGTTACTGTTCCGAGAGAATATTCCCTAATGCAAACCCTGGCAGAAAATTTAAATTCAAGACCGTTTCGTCCTTCTATTCTATGAATAAAATTAAGTTTCTGCACCAACTGAAGACGAGCATCCATTCTAAACCAAACCTTCAATTCTTAAAGATACATTATGGGATATTAGATAAAGAGTTGGCAGTTCTCTCTATAATAGTTAAAAACTAGATAATGTAAAGGGAAATTGCTGAAAAATTCTTAGACCGGCTCTAACTTTTCCCCAAATTTTCGTTGGGTAGAACGCTTTCTACCACAGATGGAGCAACATGTGGCCACCTCTTGTGGGGTATACTTATTGCCAGTTTTACAAATACACTATCGATTAAAGATGAAAGAATACCTTTGTAACACCCAGAAATATTCAACTGTGGACTAAAACAAAGTGAATTAAAAAACGTCTCATGAGGATGCTTTGCCTTTTTTAACCAATCAGCAAACTGGAGAGCTTTTGGTGCTGTCCTAATGTATGTGATAAACTTTCGGCTGGCTAGAATATGTTGAGATCCTTGCATTAGAACAATGTCCGATATTGGAGTACCAGTCGCAGACATCCTAGATTTCCAGACCGCCTCACTGAAGTATAAAACGGTTCATTCACGATTGGGTTTATATAACGAGCAGACATGAGATTCAAGACGCCCCCGTCCCCCACTCCAAATTTTATAGATTAATCGTCGTTGGGGTCCATAGAGAATTCAACAGGGCCTTACGATATAAATTTGCGTGGGGACTGCAGAAAAAGAAAGCATTATAACGAAGATTCCAGTCTTTTCGAATGGCGTTAACAACAATAAAGAAAAGAGGGGATTCATTTTCGGATCACTCAGTATAGTTAGGAGCTAGGTTCAGGTTGTTTCGAAAATCGCGTACAAAATTTCTATTATGCTAGTTGAGTGGACAGCAGGTCCCCTTCCCATGGGGGTGGGGGATCAGAGAACACGTCAAATTTTCGAGTTTTATTCGACTTTTGCGTACAACAAACAACTTTCGTGCATAAGTCGACCAACTTCAGATGTCGCCAAAAGCACTGCTTAAGAAGACCCCCGACCCTTCCTTACTCCCTTAAGAACACCCCTTTACCCCCCTGATTAATTCGACTTTTGCGTACAACATTAATTTTTTCGTTAAAAGTTTCACTATTGATCCGCTAAAACATAACACTGACTTAAGAATGCGAAATCCCCTTCCATTCCGGATAAGAACGACAAAAAGGGGACCTATGGGTGAAGCAAACAAAATGACGATTTAATTCGACTTTTGCGTACAACGATCAACTTTTGTGCATACGTCGACCAAAATCATATAATATCACCAAAAACACTGCTTAAGAAACCCACGACCCTTCCTTTCTCCATTAAGTACGACCCCTTACCACCCGGAGAGACGAGTTAATTCGACGACTTCCGCGTACAACATTAATTTTTTCGTTAAAAGTTTCACTTTTGGTCCGCTAGAACAGAACACTTAAGAACGCGAAATCCCCTTCAATCCCGGATAAGGACGACAAAACGGGGGATCCATGGGTGGATCAAAATGACGATTTAATTCGACTTTTGCGTACAACGATCAACTTTCGTGCATACGTCGACCAACCTCAGATGTCATCAAAAACACTGCTTAAGAAGACCCACGACCCTACACCCCCTTCATACCCCCCACCCCCACCACCACCATTAGAGATGAGTTAATTCGAATTCCGCGTCCATAATAGTTTTTCCCCATGTGAAATATGTGGATTCCAGGCATTGCTTATATCAACGGAATACTGGTATGAACTTGTAGTGGTGTAGAAAGTTGTCAAATACGGGTTTCAAGAACTCTAAAGGCTTCGTCTCTTGGCACATTCAGTGGGTAGATTGACAACACCGTATGGGAGCAATTCATTGGTGTCCTTAATGTGAAAATATCTAGGAATATCATGAGTATGACGAATCCTACGGATTGTATTAAGGTGAAACAGAATGGACGTCAGGAGCTTTTAGGGTCATCAACCGAATCCGCTCTCTTCTCCGAGAGCCGAGCTATGTAAAACCCGTACCAACCCATGGACTAAGAGTGAAAAGTTTAACGAAAAAAATAATGTTGTACTCGGAAGTTGAGTTAACTCATCTCTGATGAGGGTAAAGGGTGTGGGGGGGGGGGGGGTCTTAAGGGGTGAAAAATGGATCCGGCATCTACTTAAGCAGAGTGTTTAAATGTAATCTGAGGTAAATTTACACAGACAGGAAGAATGATGTAGGCTGAAGTTGACTTAAATCGTCAGTTTTGGCCATTTCATCCTCGCCCCCGGTTTTCTTGCCCTTATCCGAGATAGAATGGGATTTTGCGTTCTTAAGTTAGTGCTATGTTCTAGTGTACCAATAGTGAAATTATTAACGACAAAAATTAATGCTGTACGCGGAATTCGAATCAACTCATCGTTAAGGGTGGTGGGGGTGTTGGTATACAGGGGGTATACAGGGAGGAAGGACGGGGCGTGATTCTTCTTAAGCAGTGATTTTGATGATATCTGATTTTGGTCGACGCATGCACAAAAGTTGATCGTTGTACGCAAAAGTCGAATTAAATCGTCATTTTGGCTATTTCACACATACGCCCCCCCCCCCTTTGTCGTTCTTATCCGGAATAAAGGGGATTTCGCGTTCTTAAGTTAGTGTTATGTTCTAGCGGATCAATAGTGAAAAGTTTAACGAAAAAATTAATGTTGTACGCAAAAGTCGAATTAACCCCTCTCTCAGGGGGTAAAGGGGGTGTTATTAAGGGAGGAAGGAAGGGTCGGGGGGTGTTCTTAAGCAGTGTTTTTGGCGACATCTGAAGTTGGTCGACTTATGCACGTGTTGTACGCAATAGTCGGATTAAACTCGAACATTGGAAGTTTTGTCGGATCCCCCACCCCCATGGGAAGGGGAGCCTCAACTTAAGAATCAAGGTTCAGAGTATCGGACGTCACTGCCCACTCATTTAACATAGTAGACATTTTGTACGCGATTTTCGAAACAACCTGAACCTAGCTCCCTAACTAGTACTAAGATGCTCGAAATAAGACGAAATTTGCACAGGCACATAACTATTATTGTTTGGATTTGGGTAGGTGTCAATCCAGATGATTTGGGCCTCAAGGTGAATTAAGCTTAAATTGTATCCGCTTTGACATAGCGTTTAAATTATCGAAGTCACATTTAGATTTTTATCGGATTGCTACTTACGATTGGTTTAACGGTGAGAAATGCTTCGGGGTTGGGACAACATTGTGTTCACTGTAGAAGTGAACAGTCAAACAGCTTGTTAGCAGAATACACAGGGCACCATTTTGAATAGGCAAGCGTGTTTTGCAATGAAACAGAAGATAATTTGAGATGATCGTATAGAGACTAGATGAATGTAAACTAAAAACAGGAACCTTACCTGAATGGCGCGCCAGATACACTGTTGGCTCCACGGAAAGCCCTCAAAATTTGAACAATTTCAAGATTAGTTTTTAAAGGAAAATCTTGACCAGCAAGATTGATAAAATATTTCCATTTTTTATACTTCAGTAGATCATCCATACACGTCAGTTCGGCTTGAAATACACTATATTCGCCCCATCTGACGGTACCTCTGTGTGAGGCCATGATGACGTTATCGAAGCATTTCGCTAGACTGGACATGGCTTTAAATAGATTAATGGGGGATTTCCCATCTACGTGTATACAATATATATTGGAAGGTCTGTAAATAGATCGTAATAATCTCTCTGCCATCTCTATATCATGATGCTTGATGATATTATAGGCAATGGGGAATTCCAATTCCTCTTTACTTACGTTCATTACATAACCACGTGATTTTATCAGCCTGTCACATGACTTAGTTAAACTCCGGATTTAAGACGATCTTTTTATGTTTGGCTAGAATCATTTTAGTTTTTTTCACATACGATAGATCCCCCTGAATCAGCTTCTCACAGTGGACGTCTAGTCGCTCTAAATTTGTTAAGCTATTTGTGGCTCGTTTTATATAAACACTGCTTCCATACAATGGAATGTTTAACAACAAATTTGTATCATGCGGGTCGTTTCCTGATCTGGGTTTTCGGCTTTTCTTTTGCTGATTATGTCTTTCTTTTTCATGATGGAAGACGATATCATCTGTCCTGGTTGGTGAAGATGGTGTTGCTATAGGTTTATATCTCTTGTATGCGGAGATGGAAATGAGAACTTGGCTGATCAAAGCAACACATCCCAGAATAACCACAATTTTTCCTAAAGATCTCATTGGTTTACACAAGGTAAGAACTTTCATGTTAATTTGTGTTTATTTCAGTAACACCAAAATATAGTAAAAAAGACTTACTAAATTTTATCTCATCCAGGTAACATGGAATAAATCTTCCTGCCTTTATCAGCATCGGACACAACGAAGATGATAACACTGTTGATCACAAGCGTTTATCCAGTCTTATTGGCTAGCATAGTTTTTTTTTAAGTATTAAAAATTTATACAAGAATACTTCTGCTGATTAGTGATAAAGATTAGAACATCGAACAAATGTTACTATGCCCAAATACTAGTAAGAAATAGGTGTTTGACCACACATAGATGTACTACGTACTGAATTCCATTTAATTATACTATTCAAAAAAAGTAGGGGATATTTGATTTTGGGGGCATAATACTAAAATATGCAAATGACTACGAAAAAAGTCACTATAGAACCTAACAGAAGAAACATTTCCAGTTACATGTGACGCCCAAACGCACCAATAGCTACCGCATGGAATGCAGGTGATGCTTGGGATCATCATGGGGGTCCAACCCAAGATTTGCACGACTCTGACTTTGAATGTTACAGTCATTGTGGCATTGAATTCCAGGGTGGAAACATCAGTTTAATTGTTTTAGTGACCAGAAAACAAATTTTGATATGCGTCGGCTTACCCAAAATGAAAGGTTACGTGCCCTTGGCATGCTACAGATCGGCACAACACAGGCGGTTGTGGCGCGGACGATGAATGTTTCTCAGTCTGTCATAAGCAGGCTATGGTCCAGATACCGTGATACACAATCTGTACAGGACAGACCACGCTCAGGTCGACCAAGGGCGACAACTCAAGCCCAGGATCGATTTATCCGTACCTTGGCCTTGAGAAATCGTGTCATCACAGCAAATCAGATCAGCGCTCGTCTTCAAACAGACACTGGTGTGAGAGTGAGTGGCCAGACGATTCGGAATCGACTGCATAGGGGTCACCTTCGCGCCCGACGTCCTCGCGTGATCCCTTGTTTGAGAGATCATCACATTCAGGCAAGACGTCGTTGGTGTAGGGATCGTCAACACTGGGATAATCGACGCTGGAGCAATGTGATGTTTTCAGATGAGTCAAGGTTCACTGTTGATTTTTTGGACAGACGTAGGAGGGTGTGGCGTCGTCGAAACGAGCGCTTCCAAGACGTTAACGTCATCAGACATGATCGATTTGGGGGTGGTTCTGTTATGGTGTGGGGAGGCATCACTGTTGCTGGAAGAACGGCTTTACATGTTGTTGCAGGGCGTGTTACAGGCCAGTACTACCGGGACAGCATCTTGGCAGTCCATGTTGTGCTGTTCGCACGACGTCATGGCCGCCGTTTCATCTTCCAGGATGACAACGCAAGATGTCACAGGGCCAGGATCGTTACAGGTTACCTCCAACAACAGAACATCACCACATTACCTTGGCCAGCACTGAGTCCCGACCTCTCCCCCATCGAGCATGTCTGGGACATGCTTGGACAGAGGTTACGTCAACGTCAACAACGTCCTGCCAATGTCCAAGAACTTGCTGCTGCGTTGCAACAGGAATGGGACAATCTGGACCAAAATGACCTTAGACGTCTCATTAGGAGTATGCCACGTCGGATCAATGCTTGTTTGGCAAACAGAGGAGGATTTACCCGTTACTGACTTGGTTGTGATGCTGTGGTAACTTTGCTGTTTGACCCCGGGTATCATTTTACCCTTATAATGGTCAGTCTGTGCCTTACTTAGTCTAACGATCATTTGGAATAAATCGATGAATGTGAACTTCATTTCATTTTGTCATTTGTTTCTCGGTCAGTTTCATTAGGTGACTTTAATAACACTTAAAAATCAAATATCCCCTACTTTTTTTGAATAGTATATATATATATATATATAACATATATAATTTATAACATTGGATTCTAAAATAATTACAATAATATTTATGAAATTATATGAATTTATACTACCGACTGGTTTGACAATCGTTGCGAGATAAATGTAATTGTACAGGTAACATATGTGTAAATTAATGTATTAATATCTCAACATAAATTATACCTCAGGCCGTCCAACAAACTCAAAACCCCAGTGCCCTTCAGCCCAATGTATTACATAGTATAGACTTCTAATTTGAATACTGAAAGTCAATGTACACATATATGTCGATTTATTTACATTTTATATGAATTAAATAATATTTTTTATGATGTACCATGTTGTTCTGTATTATTAGGCATTCAGTATTGACTAGAGATGTGGAAAGAAATTTGTATAAATATATTCTTTCAATGTTGTTAAGTTTTTGGCTGGTTATTAGGTTATTTGGTATTATGCCGTCGCCCCTGTCTCTTTATGTGGGTGCGTGTGTCTGTGTGTGTGTGGGGGGGGGGGGGTCGTCTACAGGGCCCAATTCTTCATGGTTTGTCTTGAAACTTTGCATACTTATTCCTTATACCATAAGGATAATCCCAATCCCAATGTTGGTTTGTCACCTACTGGCCACAATTCTTAATGGATCATCTTGAACTTTGCATATTTATTCCTTATACCCTAAGGATCACCCCTATTGTGTTTGGTGTATCCCCACCCCCAGGGGCAGAGCCACGGCCAGTTTCTCTTTGTGTGTCGCCTACAGGAGGTCGCAATTTTTAAGGGATCGTCTTGTAAACTTTTCATATTTATTCCTTATACCCTAAGATTGACCTCTATTATGTTTGGTGCATGTCCGACGCCCAGGGACAGAGTCACGCCCAATTTTGTGTCTGCCTTTGTGTCGGCTATAGGCCACAATTCTTAACAGATCCCTTTGAAACTTTGCACACATATTCCTTATACCCTAAGGATGACCCCTATTGGTATTTGGTGTATACCCAACCCCCAGGGACTGAGCCACACCCATTTTTTTCTTTATGTGCCTGTGTGTTATCTACAGGCCACAATTTTTAATGGATCGTCTTGGAACTTGGAATATGTATTCCTTATAGCCTAAGGACGACAACTATTGATGTTAGTGCATGCCCCGACTCCCTGGGCATAGCCACGCCCAATTTCTGTGTTTATCGTTTACTGGCCGTGATTTTGAACGAATCATCTTGAAACTTGGCACATGTATTCCTTATAGCCTAAGTGCGTGTTCCGAACCCAGGGGCAGAGTCACGCCCAAGTTTTGTGTTTAGCGTCTGAAGCCCGCAATTCTGGATGGATTATCTTGGAACTTGGTATACTTATTCATAATACCCTAAGGACGGCAACTATTGATTTTGGTGCACGATCCATCCCTTGTGACGTGCCACACCCACTTTTTGTTAATATTTTGTATGCAAATAATCCACAGGTTGCAATTATTAACAGGTATGGATTCAATTCAGTATGATCTATCATAGAGTTGTACTATTTATATTGGTGCATGTCCAACCCCAAGGGACAAAGCCACCCCCAATTGTTGTCTTTATTTGTGTACAGGCTGGAATTCTGAATGGATCATCTTGGAACTTGGATACTTATTCCTTATACCGTAATTTGGCAACTATTTAATTTGGTGCATGCCCCGACCCTCTGGGATGTCGTACCTCACCCCATTTTTGTTAGTTTTTCGTCTGTAAATACTCTACAGGTTGCAATTTTTAACAGATTTTGATCAAATTCAGCATATCAATCGTTTCAATAATAGTTGTGACTATTTATATTGTTCCATATCCAACCCCCAGGGGTAGAGCCACGCCCAGTTGTTGTGTTTATCATCTACAGGCTGCGATTCTGAATGGATCATCTTGGAACTTTGCATATTTATTTCGTATACCGCAAAGACAAGAAATATGTAGTTTGGCGCATGCCCTGCCCACCCTGTGGCGTTGTCACACACACACTTTTTTGTTAATATTTAGTCTGTAAATTTGGCAAAACAAACCCCAACGCTTAGCCTTCTTTGCCTCTTGCCATGTTACAGTCATTGCAGCCATTTCACATTTCATGCTCTTCATTTTAAAAAGTACCTTATCAATCAAAGCAGGAATGTGGACGTATATTGCAGCGAAAGCGATGCTCTTGTTTATGACTGTAATTAGTGTAATTTTACTGCTGTAAAACAGGTAACAATTGTATGTTGTCGTATGTTGCTCTCGCCTCAGTCTGTCCATTTAGTCGTCTGTCTGTTTTTCACACTTTTTGTTAGCATAATCGAGGCTACAATAATTCCTTACATAATGAAAAATATATCTTTTTGAAATTGTTCAACATTTCGATAATCACCCCAAATTTATGCTCTTTTGTTATGAAATCTTGTTAGCAATTGTCTATACTGCTGAAAGGGAGATCCTTGTTGATTTTTAACAATAACGTCTAGAGATAATCCCCTCTGTTTAGCTAACCCTAGAGGCATAAATTATGATCCAATGAATTTTTAGCTGATAATATTAACTGCTCCGACGATTTAGCTGTTTGTGGGTGTGGTCTATGTTTTGATGCCTGGTGACATTTTTATAACTTAAGGAAACAAAACAGATTGCTTGAACATACATTATGCAAGAGCTAAATCTGCCTATTGCAGGTCTTTCTTTAGGCCTGAATGGCATCTGATTTCTCCGATATTAAATAGATTAGAACAGTTCAGCCATATTATGATTTAAACTAAAGATGGAGCAGCGAGACTTAGCTTCGAACAACCAGTACAGTGGTTGAAATTATTGCACACGTCTTGTCAAACCTTCAAAGGCTAATATCTTCGCTCGCAATAGCGTTATTTGAATGAAATATTCAAATTATTCATTTCACATTATCTATTTTCGAACTATTATAGCAAGAATGGTCCGTTCTTTATCTAAATCTTACATAATGTATGTTTAATGTTTGTAAAACGTAATTAGGAACTAAGCAAAAAGATAAAGTTTAAAGTTTGTATAACATAAGAAACGAAGATAACATGTTTTAGTAGTAGGGGGATTAACACAGGAGTTTGTTCAGGCCACCATACCACGTACACAAGTGCGAGATCGAATCCAGGCCCCTTGAGTCCATGCCAGACCTCAAGATCTAAAGCACAAGTTATGTTACTCGACCCCCCCCCACCCTCCCTCGTACTTCAATAATTTGGGTGATGTATCTTTGTTCACCTTCTCCTTATGTACTTTTCTTAATGTCTACATTTAGGGGAAAATGGAATTATGTTGACATAAATGGTGATGATGTTATATATAAATAACATAATCACATTTTCCCCCAATTGTAGACATTGGACCCCCTTTATCTCGAAAACGCCCCCTCAAACGCCTGATCACCGCCCAGATTCGGAATCTACGCAAAAAACTGTTCTAGAAATACTTGGTCTCATAAATTCACAGCTCGGGTGACGACCACCCCCGTGGGTTATTATCTAGCGTTGGTATTTTGATTTTGTCTTCTTAATTAAATGTCAAATAATCAATCTGAAAACATATTAGAGTGGAATTCAGCGACAAATACCAGTGGCGCATCGCTACCTTAAATATCGACAGGTCAATTTGTCTTCGACTTGGTCTCTGAACAAATAACGACGAGTCAACAGCAATCGACAAAATAAATATGGTAATTTTACAAATAAACCCAGACAAATCTATCAGCCATTTATTCAAGTAATTTGATTTCTTACAAAATCCTGATTTATATAAAAACTGAGATTGATGTTAGAAGATTTTCCCTGTTGTTCATTATGTATTTTATCAAATAGCCATTTCTCTAGACAATCAAGGGTGACGGGTTGATAATCAGAATGATGTTTATTACTGAATAAATGCGGTGCCTTGGTTAAACCCGGTAGTTCCCCCATACCAAATATACAGATACTTCTTGTCCATTTACCGTTACACTTGGCGCCATCTGTGGACCATATTTTATATCTAGCCATTGCTTCTCTCTCAAGTAACATCTTTCTCGTCCCTGTAACATTTGATTAAAACGAACAAATATTTAAAAATCTCAATGAGCTGGTCTTTCTTTCAACTTTATCTTTAGACAAAATAAAAGTGACATATTGCTAGTTCTTTTTGACATTTCCTGTCAATGTTAATTTCAAGCTGTATCTGATTCTGTCAAGTTTCATTACCTTCCGTGAAGAGTAATTTTATATCAGCTAAAAACAAACAACATGCCACCTTTATTTAGTAAATATCTTAAAGGACAATATTGGTGCCAGTCATTATCACATATGTGATAGGGCTGGTTAAACACATTCCAAATATAATTTTACACAGAGATCATTGCTACGATAGCTGAGTAATACAGGTTTCTTGAATCGGAAGCGACGAACGCAAAAGGAAAACACGAGTGATAACAGATACACGGCCGAATTTCTGCTCACTAATAATTCTTTCGAAGACCAAAAGTTGTTACGGGACTGTAAAAGGATACCTGACAATTCAATAAAGTAATTGAATGTCATTAGATAAGAGAACACGAGAAAGTAGTTACGGAAGTAGTTATAACAACCAGTTGTGGGGTATACTTATTGCCATTTTTACAAATACACTATCGATTAAAGATGAATGAATACCTTTGTAACACCCAGAAATATTCAACTGTGGACTAAAACATAGTGAATTAAAAAACGTCTCATGAGGATGCTTTGCCTTTTTTAACCAATCAGCAAACTGGAGAGCTTTTGGTGCTGTCCTAATGTATGTGATAAACTTCCGGCTGGCTAGAATATGTTGAGATCCTTTCATTAGAACAATGTCCGATATTGGAGTACCAGTCGCATACATCCTATATTTCCAGAACGCTTCACTGAAGTATAAAACGGTTCATTCATATAATTGGGTTTATATAACGAGCAGACATGAGATTCAAGACGCCCCCCCCCCCACTCCAAATTTTATTGATTACTCGTCGTTGATGTCCATAGAGAATTCAACAGGGTCTTACGATATAAATTTGCGTGGGGACTGCAGAAAGAGAAAACCTTATAACGAAGATTCCAGTCATTTCGAATTTTTTGCGTTTTACTAACTGGCGTTAACAACAATAAAGAAAAGAGGGGTTTTATTTTTAGGTCACTCATTACGGAGATAACTATTATTGTTTGGATTTGGGTAGGTGTCAATACAGATGATTTGGGCCTCAAGGTGAATATAAGCTTAAATTGTATTCGCTTTGACGTAGCGTTTAAAGTATCAAATGTCATATTTAGATTTCTATCGGATCGTTGCTCACGGCTGGTTTAATGGCGAGAAATGCTTCGGGATTGGGACAACATTGTGTTAACTGTAGAAGTCAACAGTCAAACAGCTTGTTAGCAAATACACAGGGCACCATTTTGAATAGACAAATGTGCTTTGCAATGAAACAGGAGATAATTTGAGATGGAGAGAGAGGGTGAAATGGGGTTTAACGTCCACTCGACACAAACTAGGTTATTTCGGGACTAACATATGGTTTAATTTTATTTCAATAATTCGCTTGCGCGTAGATTTGAGATGGACGTATAGAGACTAGATGAATGTAAACTAAAAACAGGAACCTTACCTGAATGGCGCGCCAGATACACTGTTGGCTCCACGGAAAGCCCTCAAAATTTGAACTATTTCAAGATTAGTTTTTAAAGGAAAATCTTGACCAGCAAGATTGATAAAATATTTCCATTTTTTATACTTCAGTAGATCATGCATACACGTCAGTTCGGCTTGAAATACACTATATTCACCCCATCTGACGGTACCTCTGTGTGAGGCCATGATGACGTTATCGAAGCATTTCGCTAGACTGGACATGGCTTTAAATAGATTAATGGGGGATTTCCTATCTACGTGTATACAATATATATTGGAAGGTCTGTAAATAGATCGTAATAATCTCTCTGCCATCTCTATATCATGATGCATGATAATATTATAAGCAACAGGGAATTCCTCTTCCTCTTTACTCACGTTCATTACATAACCACGTGATTTTATCAGCTTGTCACATGACTTGGCTAAACTCAAGTAAACCTCCGGATTCAAGACGATCTTTTTATGTTCGGCTAGAGTCATTTTAGTCTTTTTCACATACGCTGGATCACCCTGAATCAACTTCTCACAGTGGACGTCTAGTCGCTCTAAATTTGTTAAGCTATTTGTGGCTCGTTTTATATAAACACTGCTTCCATACAATGGAATGTTTAACAACAAATTTGTATCATGCGGGTCGTTTCCTGATCTGGGTTTTCGGCTTTTCTTTTGCTGATTATGTCTTTCTTGTTCAGGATGGGAGATGATATCGTCGGTCCTGGTTGGCGAAGATGGTGTTGCTATACGTTTATAGCTCTTGTATGCGGGGATGGAAATGAATACTTGGCTGATCAAAGCAACACATCCCAGAATAACCACAATTTTTCCTAAAGATCTCATTGGTTTACACAAGGTAAGCACTTTCATGTTAATTTGTGTTTATTTCAGTAACACCAAAATATAGTAAAAAAGACTTACCAAATCTTCCTGCCTTTATCAGCATCGGACACAACGAAGATGATAACACTTGATCACAAGTCTTAGTGTTTATCCAGTGAATCCTTGGGAGATATCAAATGTAGTTGTACAGGTAACATTTTATGTGCAATTTAATGGATCAATATCTCAACGTCAATTATACCTCAGGCTGGTTCAGGGCCCTGTTTCTCGAAATCTTAACTAAAGATAAAATCCAAATTTTAGTAGCTACTTCAATTTTGATTGGCTAAGCACTAAAATCAATCTAATATTATCCGATCAAATTACTAAAATTTGGATTTTATCTTAGTTAAAATTTCGTGAAACAGGCCCAAGGCCGTCCCACAAACTTAAAACCCCACGTGCCTTTTAGTCCATGTGACAGGCAGATATTCATTACCAATTTGATGAATTGGTTTAACTATGATTTTCAGTTAGCCTTAGGTCTAAAGTGTCCAAAATTGGTTGATGGACTTCCGGGTCACTTTGCCAAATGTCAGTTTGGCGGCCATCTTTAAAAAAATGGCCGCCGTTTTTTTTCTTATTTGAAATAGTGCGAGTCGGGGAAGCCTTCATAACTCCTCAACAGTTTCACCTATATGGATATGTAATATATCTCAAAATGTTCATAATATAATTCTGCATCTGCTGGTATATGATATATGTTGTTTAATCAATACTATCAGTTTTAAAATAAAAGATTAATCTGAAAAAAGCAACATTTTCGATTTTTTTTTTCATGTCTGTTCGTATGTTTACTAACAAATCGTGTTCAGACCCATATAAGCCAAATTATCTGTTTGGTCAACTTAAGTGATTGAATAGATATCAGAAACATTGATCATAAAAAATAATCTCAAATATGAGTGTCCCAGATCCAAGATGGCGGAAATTCAAAATGGCGACAAAATTTCCTAAAATGGCCAATATGTCAGATAATAGTCATTTCATTGTTTGATATGACATGTACTATCCAATGAGCTTACAATTAAAGATTCATTACGTAAGATTTAGATAAAGAGCTAGCCATTCTTGCTACAATAGTTCGAAAATAGATAATGTAAAATGAATAATTTGACAATTTCATTCAAATTACTCTATTGCGAGCGAAGATATTAACCTTTGAAGGTTTGACAAGACACGTGCAATAATTTCAACCACTGTACTGGTTGCTCGAAGCTAAGTCTCGCTCCTCTATTTTTAGATTAAATCAAAATATGACTGATACGTTCTAATTTATTTAATATCGGAGAAATCCGATGCCATCGAGAGTTGATTATGGCCTGGGTCAGTTAATTAATGTCTAAATAATAATTTAGAAAACATTTCAGGCCTAAAGAAAGACCTGCAATAGGCAGATTTAGCTCTTGCACAATGTTTGTTTAATCTAAACAAAGAGTTTTAAAAATCCAAGATGGGGAAAATTCAAAATGGCGGTCAGAATTTCCATAACATGAATGACTGTTTTATATAGCTTATAATGTCTCTTTTATAAGGTTTTCAGAGTCACTGAACATGAATAAAAACTCAAAAGTAATGCTGAAAATGATGTTAGTGATACTGCTAAAAATGACACATCCTATGCGAGCCCCCCCCCCACCCATAAACATTACAATAGGGCATAATATGGAATTGATTATTTTGTATCTCACAGATCACAAGACATTTCACCAAAATAGTGAGTCATTTTAATTTCATCTACTATGCCTTTGCACCATTTTAAGCCGTATTTAGAATTATTTATGATATATCCAGTTGTTAAGAATTTAAGATCTCTTATTCCGCTACAAGGTCCTCCCTATTAAACAAACTATACATATTTGGAAAGCTTATAACACCAGGAACACAAATCCAATTAAAATGTTTTAAGGCCAGATGAAAATTGTGATAATTGTCAAGTAAATGTTATATTTATACTGACAATTGTGAAGTTGACATAAAATTACACATATGATACCTAGGATAGGACAGGCTTATCTTTGCTCCGTGAGGTGAACGACGGGGTTCTCTACAACCAGGCTCGAAATTTCTTTTGAAAAAACTGACTGTAATTTAAATGGTACTTTCTAGAGTATATCCTGGTGTTTTTAGCTTATGCATATATCTTAATAATTCATCAAAAACGACATAAATTCATAACTACGCGAGAACATTGACTAGTTTAGGGACCCCCGAAACTACGATACTCCTTTTGAGTGTCCATCCCTGAAAAGGGAGGCAAAAGATATGATGTTAAAACGATAATTCATATATTATTTTACAGTTATATATATATAAAAAAATGTCTCCTTTTTATCCAATGGACAATTTATTGTTAGTTCATGTAGAAAAATATGGTGCTTATAAACGTGTTGCAAATTTCCGTATTACATGGTAGACTTCAACGTATCATATACACAATAGGTATTTATTTTACAAGTATAAAAAATGTTTCCGTTTTATCGAATGAACAATTTATTGTTAATTCGCGTGGAAAGATATGATGTTAAACATGTTACAACTGGTATATTAGTCGAGTATTTTACATTTTACAGAAAGTTTACGTTTAATCGAAAATTCCAATAAACAATTTATTTTTAAGTTGAAGGGAGTGTCCTACAGGTGGTAGACCATATTAAATGCTGCTTGAATGTGTATTTTCATAAACTTTGTATGCATATAGATTATTATACTGAAGGTTTGTCTGGATAGAAAATAAGATTTTGTGTGAAACAGGTGTCCTAGAAAAAATGGGTTCACTAACATCAAATATCTGGTTCTACAAATTGTATTTGTCCCTTCTAAACTAATACCTGTGCGGAACAAACCTTTCCGTTTCATCGAAAATTCCAATAAATAATTCAATTTTAAATTCAGTGGCTGCGAAAACCCTATACATGATATATCACAAGCCCTACCTTGCATGATACTATAATAATAATAATAATAATAATAATAAAAACTTTATTTATTGAGGCAACGTATTTAGTTTGCAAAAAAACTAATCTTCCATAGGTCCCTCCTAAGCTACAAAGACATATATACATGTAATATCAGGATAAATTTAAAATCATTAGAAATGCAATAGCATTTTAAAGTGGGGAGTTTGATAAGTCACTCCCAAACTTCAAAACATATACATTATACAAGTAGAAAATAGGAAGAACACTATAATTACACACAAAATAAAATAGAATGCTGTTGCAAGTTAAAAATAATAAGTATGTCGTCAGTTGAATATTATGGTTCCTTCAGTGTGCAAAATAAATGACTTTTCAGTTTAATCTTAAAATTTTCAACATTTTTACACATCTTTATATCAAAAGGCAGATTGTTCCATAAAAGACATGCAGAATAATGAAAAGTACGTTTCATGGATTCCGTTTTGCAATTTTGAAGAAAAAAAGATTTACTGGTCTGTGAACGGAGCAAGATATTCGTTTTGGAAACAAGAGATTTTTCAATAAAATAGAAATTTAGATAAAGTGGAGTATTAAATGTAATAATTTTGAATGCTACGACAATTTTATTGTAAAGAATCCTCTGTGTAAGGGTAAGCCAACCGAGTTTAGTAAATAAAGAGGTGGACGGATTTTCAATCGGTGCATCAAGAATAGTTCTTGCTGCCCTCTTTTGTAATTTTAAAAGAATGCCTAATCTACTTTTGGTAGCATTTCCCCAAATAATAGAGCAATAATCAAATATTGGTAGTATGTAACTGTTATAAAACAAAATTCCTGTCTCGTAAGGTAAATGATCTTTTATCTTATTTAGGAGAAATATTTTTGATGCAAGTTTTTTTTAGACATATCTGCTATCTGTGCTTCCCAATTAAGGTCTTGGTCAATTTGAATTCCAAGTAATTTTGCGGTAGTAACCGTCTCAAATTTCTCACCATGGAGTGATAAAGTTAGGTTTTTCTGATTTCTTTTGTGTTTTGATGAAATCGGCATTGATTTTGTTTTCGAAGGATTGATTACCATCCCATTGTTTTCACACCATTTAGCAACCAAATAGAGATAATTTTGGAGATTATTGGCGATGGATTAAATATCTTTGTGTGAACAATGCAGGGTACTGTCATCAGCACACAAATCTATCTGACTTGATTCAATATTGAGTGGGAGATCATTTATAAAAATAAGGAATAGGAGAGGACCCAGGATCGACCCTTGTGGAACCCCGCATTTGACTGTAGTAATTGAGGAGGTAATTGATCCTAAACATACTTTTTGCTTCCGTGAGTCAAGATATGATTCAATCAAAATTTGTGAATTATTATCAAATCGATAAAGATGTAGTTTTTCAATAATAAGCTTATGATCAATGAGATCAAATGCTTTGCCAAAATCAAGATACACTATACCATTCATCGCACCATTATCGATAGCATCAAGCCAATTATCTGTCATTCGGATCGGTGCAGTAGCACATGAATGATTTGATCTAAATCCAGATTGGTAAGCATAAAGAACATTGAAGGTTTCCAAATAAGTTTGAATTTGAGTGCTCAAGTGCCTTTCGAATATCTTTGAAATTGTGGGGAGAATTGAGATTGGCCTATAATTGTTCGGATCATCTTTAGC